TATTGTTCACTTTAGACATAAACTTTCATGACTTTATTTTGAACTTCCCTAAAAAACATCAACCCAATTCACAATGTAATTTTACGAACTTATTTAATTTGTGTTGAACTGAATAAATGAAAATTTTATAAATATTTACTCACCATACAATCGTATATACATATTATGAACTTATTTAATTTGTGTTGAACTAAATGAATGAAAATTTTATAAATATTTACTCACTCTACAATCATATATACATTTTTATTTTATTTTTATTTAATTTCATAGTTTCATATAGTTATTTTATTATTATTTATTCTCCAACGTAAATAGATGTTTGAAACAAATAAAGAACTAAAAACAACGTAAATAGATGTTTGAAACAAATAAAGAACTAAAAACAACGTAAATAGATGTTTGAAACAAATAAAGAACTAAAAACAACGTAAATAGATGTTTGAAACAAATAAAGAACTAAAAACAACGTAAATAGATGTTTGAAACAAATAAAGAACTAAAAACAACGTAAATAGATGTTTGAAACAAATAAAGAACTAAAAACAACATAAATAGATGTTTGAAACAAATAAAAAACTACTCTCCATAAGCATAAGCTCTTATGACTTTGCTTTGAGCTTACTCAAAAGGCCTCGTACCAAGGGACAAAGTATTCTTTGTTTATAAACCTATGATCATTTCCTAAATTAGCCGATGTGGGACTTTCATTATCCAACACCCCCCCTCGAACAAAGTACGCCTCCCCTTAATCGAGGCTCGACTCCTTTAGAGTCTTAGTCATTTTTTACTGCCTTCGAGGAGGCTCGACTGCTTTTCTTTTGGAGTCTTTCGTTCGACATTTGAGGATTTATCAATCTATTGGCACGACTAAGTTTAGGGCATGGCTCGACTCCAACAACTCAAACCAATCCAACCCAAAATTAAGTTTATTATTTAACTTATTTAGGTTAAAAAAATTATAACTTGAATAATTGGATTGAGTTTAAAAAAATATTCTAATGTGATACACAAATATATGTGCTACAATTAATAATCTTATATTTAATTCATGGCATGACTCATTTGAACAGATGTTCATACAAATCTCATATATTTTCAAATATTTAAAATAGACACATTTTCGACTCTCTCCATTTATTTTATGTTAGCATCCTTTCCAACAAAATTGAGGGTAATTATAATATAAATAAAATGAATATATTATTCCCGTGCTACGAGTTTTAGAATAAATAACTCGGTTCATTGAAAATTGTGCAAGCGAGATCAAAGTTAACAACCCTCAAAAAAAATCATAAATAAATAAATAAACAAATAAAAAAATTATTAAAAAAAAATAAAAAACAAAATAAACCTCCCCACTTCTCCCCACCGACCTCTTATCCCTCTCCCAATTATCTCTCCTCAACCCACTCCTTAAGCTAAAAAAATCACAATTTGTAAAAAGAAACATAAAAATAACATTTCCAAATTTAATTTGAGGAAAAAGAAGAGAATGACATTTACCGGTTGAGATTAATCAGATTTGAGGTGAAGATAGATCTGATAAGGTATATATTAAATTTGCCAATTATAGTTAGATCTCATTCCATCATTACAATCTCAGACTTAGAAACTAAATATCAATCATTTATATGAATTATAGTAAATCACCTTAATAATATTAGATCAGTAAATTTATATAAGTAGAAAAATGAATAAATTAAAAATAAAATGGCTAAAAAAATTTGTGAATAGAATTCTAGTGTTAACAGAAATGAGAGAAAAGGATCGACAATACAAAAAAAAGATTCATTAATTAAAAATTTAAACTAAATATAGTGAGAAAAGTAAATATAGAGGGCAGACAAACAAAGAATAACTTGAAATAACTCTATCAACCTTTTTTTTATACAATAATAACCATAGAAAATAATTATTTTAATAAAAACATCCTTATAGATATATAATATTTCAAGACTTTTAACAATGGATCAATGTAAAGTAGAGAAATAATTTTATAGAGTTTAACCTTGAAACTAATGTTATGGGATCACATAGGTTAGCTTGGATTTCAAAGGACAGAATCGAACTTTCGTTAAGGATATATTCGTGACAACAACCTAAATTAACTAGGTAAGTGATCTTACTATCGGCATGGTTATATTTGATGTTGACACGTGCCCCGTGGTTCTGCACGTGTCATATACATTGATATGTGTGAATTGTTTGTGGATCAATATGTTTATGATATGTTATAGTATGTGAATTGTATAGTAATAATTACAATACGATGTGTTCAATGATATGTTTGAGATAAGATATGAGAATGACGCACAAAAAAAAAAAAAAGTAACAATAGGAGTAAGATACGTTCATGAAACTTTATGGTTAGGTTACATACCGAAGAGCTATGGATATGAGAGATTGATAAAAGAATACAGTCAGGTTATGGGTAGAAAGGGACAGGTGTGTGATAGATTGTTAGAATGATAGCGTTAGGATATGTTCCTGTGATGATATGACTAAGGTACGTTCATGTAACGACATGACTATGATAGGTATAAGAACATTAAGACTATGATAAGTTAGGGAACGATATGACCACGAAGTGTTTATGATATGATATGATTATGATACAATATGTGAATGTCGGATTTATACATGTTGTCAGATGATATGAAATATGTTATGACAATATTTGATAAATTGATATGTTTATGATATGATATATTGTGATGCAATATATTACGGTATAATATGTATATGATGAAATGTTATGTCTCCTAAATTGTGTATATATTGCATGATATGAATGACATGAAATATAACCCCGTTAGAATTATGTAAGATATGAGAATTGAAGAATGAGAAACAATATGATATGAATAATGAACGATATGTGAAATGATTTGAAAAACGATATGATATGTACAGAACACTAGCAGGGTTGTATTAAATGATACCCCTATTTCATCACGAGGGTACGGATGCGTACATCCATTAGGCAGACGAAGTATCGTTATATTTTACATAATGCTGCCGTGACGGTTACTAATTCTAATGGGTGTCTGATAAAAGTTGAGCTACCAGAAAAAGCTCGCTCGATAAGAAAAGGGGCCCAGCAGTGTGCGAACTGTCTGGTGAGCTCATACTCGCACATATGGGCTGTGTGTAGAGTATATGGTACACATTGAGTCTTCCCATTAGAATAGAGATTGATATGATAGGTCCCGTCATTGCATTCGCATGTTCTTGCATTTAACCCCCAATATTGGGGTCACTTGAGTATTTCTTAAAATACTCAAGCGACATGCTACCTTTATTTCAGGTTAAGGAAGGACATTTTTGTACGGCTGACGACGGCATCGCAACTCGAGACTATGGCACATGCATAGGGTAGTTGTATTTATTTTCTTAGACTTAGACTAGGATAGGATGTTTTTAATTTAAACGTTTATTTATTTTATTTATCTTTTTTTTTGTGCCGATTTTAAAGGTGTTTTCGAAACACATAAGTCCATGGCTATATTTTCGAGCGAGTTTTTATCGATAAAAAAGAAATCAAATAGATTCAAGGGGGCTTTTTGAGAATGTATTAATAAGCTAGACCCATGCTTCAAGTTGTTTCATGCCATAAATAAACGCGAACACTCAAGAAATCCGTCGAACAATCAGATTCACATCTCTTACAACCAACACAATCTTCTATTCTTTGAGCCGAAGCTATTTGCTTAGCTTTTCATCCGCCCCAAGGTATCATTTCTAATACATCGTGGGACAAGCTCGGACACATTGAGTACACCCTAAACATGTATCATAAATCTTTACCATGGTTTTGGGAGATATTTTTTTTACTTAGTTTTAAAAAAAGTAAGTTATCTACTCCATCCGACTAGTTCCGGGTTCGAATCCCGAGCAACCCATATTAATGATAATATTGAACTAATCTATCATATCGAAATAATATATAAGTCTAATTCGATTTTGTAATGAATGAAAAGAATTAAATAAAAAAAAATCTAATTAATCTAAAGGTTATGTTTTATGAAAGTTTAAATGAAGTATTTCCGCATTCAATGTTTATGATATATATAATTAAGTAGAAACTTTTGAGTCGTTATAGAAAGATTCTTGCTCCCGTACTTGGAAATGGAAACTCGATCCAAGCTCGACCCCTCTCTATTTTGAATTAGGACTTGCCTCTTTTTTTTCTATCACCCATATCTATCTCTTGGTCGAACTGACCTCTCTTCAATTAAAATACAAATAAGCTCAAAATGGCTAACATGGTGGTAGTAGAAAAATCACCACCCGCAAAGTCTTAAGGCCATGTATGGAGGCTGATGCCTGCCCATACTAAAAAGTCAAAGAAGTTGATGACCTGGTAACAAGGGAGCAGGCGGCCAGCCCCAGTGAATGGTAGCCATAACTATAACGATTCTAAGATAGCAAAATTTCTTGTCGGGTAAATTTCAATCCACATTAAAGACATAAAAATCTGGGTACCGTCCCATAGAGAGGCTCAATGAAATAGAAAGATGAAAAGAGATTTGTTTCCATGATGGGTTAAACTAAAACAATTGATTAAACTATAAAGGAAAAAAGGGGAAATGTTTCAAATAAAAAGAAAGAATTCCTCATACTAGTTCATATCTAAAAGAAAACCAATATGATTTCAGCCACAGAAAACAAAACTTGAAATCTAGTAATCTCTCCTAACAAAATGGGTTCAGAAAAAGCAAGAAGAAACGACAATTGGACTCCTAACAAAGTGCTTGCCGTCGGTCCAAACCAGCGTACCGTAACCAATTTGACCCTCCGCCACAGCTCTGGTCATCGTCAATTCAAACCTTTTCTCCTCTCCACTCCGCCACAACTCTGGTCATCGTCAATTCAAACCTCTTCTCCTCTCCACTCCGCCACAGCTCTGGTCATCGTCAATTCAAACCTCTTCTCCTCTCCACTCCGCCACAGCTCTGGTCATCGTCAATTCAAACCTCTTCTCCTCTCCAATCTTCTCAAACTTCAAAACGCTTGGTGACACTCCCAATCAAGTTCTGAACCCCAATGGAAGGGTAATTAAAGTTCAAAATAGAACCATCAGCGAATACTCGAATGTTCTTCTCCTTGTAGCCGCTGGCACAGAGGAATTCCAAGTAATTGTTGGGGGAAAGGTCGTAGACAAGACCAGGGTGGATGGCGCTAGTGGGGCGGATGTGCCCTGAACCATATATGAAGGGGGTGGCTGGAGCGAAGATAGGGGAGCCGTCGTCAAGCATGAGGTTCATTGTGTTGTCGCTAATTCTGGTAGAGGTCATTATGGCAGATTTGATGGTGGCGGGGCTCCATTCGGGGTGGAGAGCTTTGAGGAGGCCGACAATGCCGGAGACATGGCGACAGGACATGGAGGTCCCTGACATTGTTATGTATGAAACTATTCTGTTGTCGAATGGTTCCCTTGTTGGGCTCACGACGTCGAAGAATGCCATGATTATGTTCACTCCCGAGGCTGTCACGTCCGGCTGCAAAGTATTAGAACATGGAAAGCTGGAAGAACATGATATACGAGGAAACAACTTGGCCTTCATTGTAATTGATACGGGAAGCTAGAAGAACATGGAAATCGGCGATGATTTCAAATCCACTAAGCCTATCATTGCAGAGAATCATTTTGACGGCACCGGCGAGTACGACTTGCATTTCTTTGTCAATTCTCGAAGAACCCCCTCTCAAGCAAACCAAGATCTTCCCTTTCACTTTAGAATGATCCAAAGTTTCCCGCTTGTAGAGCATGGTGTCGTTGGCATAGGCGGTCGTAGCTTTCTCCTGAGCTCCTGTTATCAATGGGTATAGCTTTCTTCCTGCTAATGGTCTCGAAAGGCTTGATCCTTTAATGACCTAGAACAAATTTTATGTTCGACTAAACGAGGACAAATATGATACCTATGTTGAGCAATAATGGAAGACAAATATCTAAATATTTGCTTTATCAATTATTATATATACAATACAATGGAAACCATAATTTATGACTAAATATTTTTAAACAAATCTTGAAGCGTTGTTCGTTTCAAAGCTCAATGGGAGGCCTGAAATTCACGGTCCAAAGTGCTAGCCCCGACCGTCAAAATCAACGGAGCAATATTAGAAGCAGTTGTCGTGCTCAGGCTAGAGTTGCCGGCGGAGCACACCACGGGGATTCCTTTCTTCGGTGCATGAAAGGAAGCAACGGCGATGATATCATCATAGTATTCGGCTGGTGGATTGCCGATGGAAAGCGAAAGGACATCAACACCGTCGTGGATGGCATGATCAAATGCCTCGGCAATTTCGGCGTCCAAGCAGCTGCCAGTGTCGTGGAGTGGCCAGCATACCTTATAGGAAGCGACGCGGGCCTTGGGAGAGCCACCCTTGGCAGTTCCGATACCGAACCCGAATACGCTGATGCCGGAGACATAGCTACCACCGGTCGTAGACAGTGTGTGGGATCTATAACCTTCGTAGTCGCGCGTGGAGTTGACGATGAATGGGAGTTAGTCCGTTAAATTTTGGGATTTCAAGTAAGCTATTACTCCTCATTGAAATACTTTGCTCCCATTAATTTCGTGTGTTATGCACCCTTTAATCTGAATTAAAAATAATAATAAAATATCAAATTATGATTAACGATGGTACTTGTTACAAGGCACTGCATCAGTGGTTTTATTCGTGCAGCCTCCTTTCCACCTGGCTCGCACACCTCCGACTATTCCATGTTCTGCAAAACTCTTGGACTCCGGCCATACACCTCTGTATATATATATATATTTTAACAAAAAAAAAAAACACATTTAATTTACCTAATATTTTAAAGCGGTATACATGGCTCAGAACAATCCAAATAGTATCTACAATCCAATTCAACCCTTATGATCTAAATTAGGTATATGGTCAGTAACCCAAACAACCCGAATAAAATCCACAATCTTAACTAACCTTTTATCCAACTCAACCTTTATGATCTAAATTAGGTAAGTCAGTAATAATAATTCACTATCCAACTCAACCTTTATGATCTAAATTAGGTACATGGTTAATAACCAAAACAACCCTAATAGAATCTACAATCAAACTCAACCTTTATGATCTAAATGAGGTATTTCAGGTTAATCGAGTTATTTGAATAACTAAGAGATAATATATATTTACTGGTGTCGCCTTTTCCAAATCTAGCCTTCCTCTAAAGAGAAGAAGGGGGAATAACACAATTCTTCTCCAAATGCATGAACTGCCATGAATGAGTTGTGTGTAACTCTTTGATTTTGTTTGGCAACACTGCTGCTACTTTTGGGTGCTCTCCCATAAATTATTATTTAAATAAATATATATTAAAGTTAAAATAGTTTGGGATTTACTTGCAAGCTTGGTGGCCTGTTCCTCGTCTAGACTCGTCTAGAATTGCTGCAAACTCATTTATATGGTTCTTATACACGTAAAATATAGCATATTTTACCTTTTCAGAACTTAAAATTTTTAATTTTTATTAATTCAAAATAAAATAATAATAACTATACGTGATAAAAATTAAAAAAAAAAAAAAAAAAAAAAAATTTCCAAAAAAAAAAAAAA